CCTCCCCCTCTCCAACGGTCGCGAAATCGATCACAACTGTCGGTTCCCGTGCTTTTCACAAGGACAAGCGGAGAATTCCGGGAACGTCCGATCCTCGTCGTTCCAACAACGAAACGAACTCGTCGATCAATCGGCGCCGCTAATGGCGGAATTCGGCCATCGCCACTCGATCCCGCTCCCGGTGAAAATCGTATTCGAAGGCGCGCCCGAATAACGTTGCACGGGATACACCCAAATTCCACGTCGCCTTTTGATTACACCGGGACGCGACCGGCTGCTGCTGCCGATGGCGCTCGCCCCTCCTTTTCCTCCTTTATACGTCCGCGCGCTATAACCAACGTTAAATCAACGTTTCGCGAGCGCCGCCGGCGATTGGTCGTTTCGCTTTTCAAAAAAAAAAAAAAGTAATGGATATTTCTCTTTTTCTATCCACGCGTTTTATTTTCTTTATCGACAAGGCCTGGAAAAGATTCCCCTTTTTTCTTCTTTTCAATCTCGCGTCAAGTAGCGTCCGTAATCGTTCGCCACCCGTCTGTGAAATAGCGGCCATTATATCAGACCTCGTCAATTTCGTTAAACAGGGAGGAAGAGGAGGGGAGGGGTGGAAAATCGTGCCATAAATCTAACTATTAACTGACCCGTCAGTCTATTAACCCACGGATGCAATGGAATCACGTCACGTATGTGTGTGTGTGTGTATGTGCGCGTAATTCTCTTTTCCATCATCACGATTCAAAACCGAGCACGACGTTTCCCTTCCCAACGATCCCATAGTTTCTAATCAGCTTTCGAATCGGTTTCATTATTATACGGTTATTGAACGAGGAGTCGCCAGGTGATCCAGATTTTCGTGTTTTCTCGCGATTGCTTCGTATTAGGCGAATCAGAAAGGGAGGAAGGAGGGAGCGATCATCATCAGGAAGGAAGAGAGGGTCCTCGGTTAGGAGGATGGCATCCGAGGAACGCGGGTGGAGCAACTGCTTTCCTGACAACGGCAATTGCGATTGGTCATCCTCTCGTTCATTTTCCACGTGCCTGACCTTAAACGGTGTTTAATTGCCGCTGGCACGTTTCATCGTGCGGTCGCTCGAGCAATGTTGCCTTAGCCTTGCATAATTGTTCCTATTGCATTTCGGACGAAAATCGAGATAATCGCGCGCTCGAACGAACGAATAAACGTTTCTCGTCGAAAGGAAAGAATTTCTTTTCTCTCGTCGAGAGATCGAGATTTTTCCTCTGGATCGATCTCTCTCTTTTTTCTTTGTTTTTTTTTTTTTGTGTAACTTCTCCACCTCTTCTTCTCCTTCTTTCCTTCTCTAACAAAATCGTTGCGCTCGTCGAGAGATCGTGCTTTTTCCTCTGGATCGCTCTCTTTTTTCTTTGTTTTTTTTTTTTTGTGTAACTTCTCCACCTCTTCTTCTCCTTCTTTCCTTCTCTAACAAAATCGTTGCGCTCGTCGAGAGATCGTGCTTTTTCCTCTGGATCGCTCTCTTTTTTCTTTGTTTTTTTTTTTTTGTGTAACTTCTCCACCTCTTCTTCTCCTTCTTTCCTTCTCTAACCAAATCTTTTCTCTCGCCGAGGGATCGAGATTTTTCCTCTGGATCGATCTCTCTCTTTTTTCTTTGTTTTGCCTAACTTCTCCACCTCTTTTTTTCCTTCTTTCCTTCTCTAACAAAATCTTTTCTTTCGTCGAGAA